AGTTATGAAATGGCAGAAGCAGTGCCAGAACCCAGGTTTCTCTTACTCTAAAGCCTAAATTCTTAACGCCTTCACTCGAATGTCTCCCAGAAACTACCAGGCAGTGGTCTTTTTACCAAGGAAGAGTTTGTGCTTGGTGTTATCAACTAGGAAGAATGGGGAAAAAAAGATTATTTCCAGGGAGCAGTGAGAGCCAGACCATCTCTAAAATATGTGTGTGTGCATGTGTGTGTGTGTGTGCATGTTTGTGTGTGTGTGCCTGCGTGTATATGTTTCAGGCATGGCGTCTCCATGGTTTCTTTGAGTAAATATGAAAGGTGATTTACCTTACCTAATTAGATTAATGGAATATTAGCTTAAGAGTTATTAATGTTGGTGACAAATATCTCCTTTATACCCAGTGGCTCTAGCTCACCTGTTATACCTGAGAACAAGTAAGCATTGCTCACCATAACTGTTTCAAGGTTTGCTTTTCCTCATGCTTCTGGACAAAGCACACAAGATAATTCACCTGGATGTGGTGGGAAAGGTCACTGCTTTGTGAGGGCTGACTTGGAAGACTGTGGTAGGTGATGTTAAACTGTGTGTGTACACACAAGCTCTCAAAAGTCACATTGTAGTGGCAACACAAACATACCCTGCAGGGTGGCACACCAGCGAAGAGCCAGCTGGGAGCCCAATCTTTCTTGGCATCCTCAAGGGTGGAGTTGATCCTAGTACCAACTACTGTCTTTTTGGTATTGGCCAGAGGCCCTTGCAGAGATAGAAAACACCTGGCTTAATTTTCCAAGCTGGGGCAGGATGGGTTAGCACGTTAGAAAGAGAGAAAGGTGATGGCAGGACTCATCGCTTGTTTCTGTGAGTACAGCAAGACTGATCCAGCAGTCAATGATGAACATGGCAGGTGGTGAATAAGCCAGCTCCTTACAGCACTCCCGGAGTTGATGCTTTTCTTTTGGCTTCCATTAACCTTCAGTAACTATGGGATTCCCAAGGGCTTTAGCACAGGTACAAAGAGGTGGAGGAATTAAGCAATAGCTTAGAGGAAGCAACAGAGTTTTCCCTATTGACTCTCCCTTTCCCCCTTGTCAGCAATACAGTGAATTGACAGATGTTTGTAGCTTACTGCAGCATTTGGTTCCAGCTGTGCACACGGCATGGGTAGTAGTGAGAACATTGTGTTCCCCACCTGTTCATCATGTTCAGACTAGCGAGTGTGTGTTTAAGTACAGGCTGTGTCCAGGGCGGGCGGGGGAGGGGGTGGGGGTGGGGGGCTGGCCTGTGTTTATGTGTGTGTGTGTGTGTGTGTGTGTGTGTGTGTGCAAATTGCTTCTATTTGTGAGGATTTTGTCACAGCCTAGGAGTCCAGGCTAACAGAGTCATGTTTTCTTTTTCTTAGTCAACTCTTCTTTTCAAAAAGTAAGCAATTAATATTCTCTCCCAGCCAGCTCCCTCACTTCTGTTAGATGAAGTAGCCATCAAAGATATGGAAGTCAAGACAAATTTTGGTATTGCCTGACACTTTAATTTCAGATATAACTCGAGGACAGATGATTTATCTTAAGAAGCTTTCTTTTACTGGTAAATTACCTAGCTGATAGTTACAAATTTATCTTCTTCTACTTACATATTCCTTTTAGGAAAAAAGAGAATGAGAGAATCCTATACTTATATCCTTGAATTAGTTAAGCTACCTCAACTATTAAGAAATCCTGACTTTGGAATAAAATGCTAGCCATCATAGTCACCAACTTCACCAACTTTGGGCCCCTCTTGCCTCTTTGATAGCGTCAGTGTAAGTAGAATTCATTCATTCATTCATTCATTCATTCATTCATTCACTCGTTCATTCATTCATCACACAAACATGTATCAAGTATCCATGCGCGTGTGTCTTGCATTTTGGTATTTATTGAATTACTCATGCACTTGTTAAAAATGCAAATACCCAGGCCCTGACTTCATCCTACTGAATCAGAATCTCTAAGGAGTAGGTACTAGAAATATGATTTTTAAAAAGTCTGTTTTAGAGGTACTCTAGGAATACAGAGATGAAAAGGACAGTCCTTTCTCCCTGCTAGATCATCATACAAATGAATAGATAAGCTAGAGCAAGAAAAGTCCATCTAAGCCATGATAAAATATGTATGGCACCCATGACAGAGAGAGGTTGCTTCTACTAGGAGGAGGAGGGGTTGCCTAACCAGTTGGTGTAGTGCTTGCTCTCCATCAGCTTGGCTGCTGGGGAATGGCCAGTCTCCTAGAGTGTATGTGATGTTGCCTCCAAGAGTGGGCATTAGATACAGAAAGAAGGAATACATCTTGCCCTGTACTGTCCTAATCTAGCAGCCATCAGTGGACTGAAAGAAAAGGGCTAGAGGGAGGATTTGCCAACTTGTCAGTGCTCTCATTTCTGATGAACATTTTGCAGGTTTCTCTTTGGCAGTACGATCAAGGCTGGAGATTCACAGTAAGGAACTTAAAAAGCTCACTGGGCTTACCACCAGGAAAAATGGAGTTTGGCTCTGTCCTTGCCACTTATTAGCTGGGCAGTTTACTTAATCTGTTGCCTAGTTTCCCCCATCTACAAAGGCAGATAAGAATATCTATATTACAGGATTGTTTTGGGAATTATATGATATATAGTACATAAACTGCTTGACATTGTACCTGGCATGTGGTCAGTGCTAATAAGTAGTATTTATTTTTAGTAATAATATCAATAATAATGGACCCCCCTTTGGGTCCCCAGAAATGACTCCTTCTTAGGCCATCAAACCCAAACTCCATATTTACAGTGGCTCTCAACTATTTGCTCTGTCCCAGCTCCCTGGAGGGCTATGACACTGTCATAGCAGTCTCACTGGCTCAGGGCAGTGATTCTCACTCTGGGGTCTATTCTTTCTAGGTTTGTTTTTATTTCCCCTGTTGATTCTGAAATTAGATAGGAAGGAGAGCAGTGTGTTGGAAGCAGGGGTGGAGATGGTAAGTGATGGTCTCCCAAGACTCAGTCCCCAAGATCTGCAAACAGCAACACAGCAAACCCCAGATTGCCATGGGCTCTGATTTTTGTCTCTTAGCATGAGTGTAGCCATGTTTCCATCTGAGCCTAATGGTGATGTCCACAGCCCCTGCCAAGAGCCTCAGAGCAGAGACTTTAGTAGAAGATGGAAAATGAGTGACTCAACATAGTGAAGACATTCTCCAACTCCTCAGCTTCCTTTAGATTGTCCCGAAAGGGAGATTAGAAAGGCTTCTCAGAACTAAGACTGGAAAGGGAGTTTATACCATTAGGGCAAAGATTGGGAGACAAAGGTACTGAAGTCAAATGAGACTTCTGTGAAACACTTTGGAAAGTACAGATTTTGAGACTAACTACATGAACAGCAGCAGCATCAATAACTGTATCACTGGTGCAGGCTGCAGACATCAGCTGGGAATGAAGGTGATTCTCAGGGCCCTTAATTTAGCCCTCAGCCCCCAGCCAGACCTAAGCCTGCAGCTGGCTGCACAGAGAGGCAGCCTGTTCCATCCTTGGAATTCCAGCTTAGGTGACTACATAAGGCATTTTGGTTTAGTGGTTCCTTAAATAAGACGACGTTCCTCTAAGTTTAATCTCTCTCCTGCTGAAATTTCCTACCCTCCTGGGCTTTACCCGTTAAACTACTGCTCATCTGAAAAGTGCAGCTAGCAGGGTGCAAACTAGTGCTCTAGTGACCGTTAAAATCTATCCTGGGCCAGCTAGCACGCACGGAAAAACTTGCCATTCGCCGCCCACCTCCCCCCCCACCCCCCGCTATTCTTATCAGAGAGAACATGGAAAATATTCTCCCTTCCTTGGCTACTCCCTCCTCCCCTTACTGAAGGATGGTGTGTGTACATCTGAATGGGGGTGGGATGCGGGGGGTGGAGTTTAGCTTTCGGTCCTCAACAAAAACATAATGGTTCCCAGTAGGCCAGAGCGGGGCAACCAAGGAGGCAGGATCCTGGCCTCTCTCGGATCTGCAGGAAGGGTGGGCTGTGCGGGTCCAGGGTGGGATGCCCGTTCTGGCCGGCGGTGCCTGCTGAGCCCCTCCTGATGTGACTTTATTAGACAAACCCCCACTCCCGCCAGGGGTAGACACACGAGTATCTGCTTTAGGAAGATTTCTGCAACACGACAGGGTGCAATTCAAAATCTGGGTTCTCCTTTCCTGAGCTCAGAAACCAATTTGTTCTGAGATAGGAGAAGGCTCTGTAGGCAGAAGACCTAAGAGATGGGAGGAGGCGCCTGGCGTCAGCGGGTCGCTTCTCAGCCGTGACCACGAGCGGCCAGCAGGTGTCAGTGCGTCCTCGCTTTGTCCTGGCGTTCGGCTCCTGGACCCCTCCCCACCTCTGTCTAAGGGGGCGCGGTCCAGACCCCCGGTCGCGCGTGTCCCGCAGACAGCTTCGTGGCTGGGAGGACACGTAGCCGCTTCTTCCCTAAGCCAAGGTCCGAAGTCTGGCCTGTGCCACTTACCCATAGGTGCTGTCCATTCCGCCCAGGGGTTCCATCCGAACCCGCGCCTTCCTCCCTCTCCAGCACCCCTTTCTCCCCAGCCGCAAGGAGCACCTGAGGACCAGGTCGGCTCTGGCCCGGAGCTGGGCTGCTCCAGATGTAACCCACACCGGAGGTTACTTCCCTCGATTTGGGCAGGGATTCCCCTCCACTTTTTCTTCCCTTTTCTTCCAAGATCCAGCTCCTTGGGGGCACTCACGGGTGCCCGTCGAGTTCTGCTCCGTCGGCCCGGAGCTGCATGGCCAACTCCCAGCAGGGGCCGCTCCCCCGCCCCCCCAACCACCGGGCTCCCTCTTTAAGCCTCTCGCTCAAGGTACGCGCCTCTCCAAAGGGCTGGTCCCGCATGAGGGCAACTCTCCCCGAGGTCCATCGCTGGGCGCCGGCGCTAGACTGGCGGAGGGGTGGTGCGAGGGGCGGGGGAGGGTCGGCTTCCCACGTGGGGGCTGACGCTGGCTGCTCAGCAACGCCGGCTTGATCCTGGGGCTATAAAACGAGTCCACCGTGAGCGCAGCGGAGCAGTAGCAGCTGCGGCTCCGTGCAGACGCCCAGCAGCCGGCGTGCCGCCGCCCGGCAGCTCCAGCGCCTTCTTCCCCCAACCTTGCGCTCCAAGCCCAACTCGCGCTGTCGTCGGACCCCGGCCCATCCAGTCGCGCTCGGCGCCCACCTGGCGGACGCCCAGGAGACACCCTGCCTTCGTCGCAGCTCCTGCAGAGCTGATCGTTCACCTACCCCGGCCCGCCTGAGGACGGGGGTGCCTTCATGCGGTGCCCACACTCCTCACCCCGCCGCCGCCGCCGCCCCCGAGCTCCGCACAGTGCGCCCCAGCCTCAGCAGGGCGCACAACTTTGGAAGTCTCGCGGCGCTCCGAGAGGCGGCAGGGTCCGCGCCCCAGCCCCGGGCCGGGCCCGGCCAGAAGCGCAGCGTCTGGGGGAAGCCAGAGAGTCGGTAATCGCTTCGGGGATATAAGGAGACAGACATAGGACCCCAAGCTCGCATCAGCACCCCTCGGCTGCCTCCCGGGGTGGGGGCGGGCCCCGCACACGGTAAGACCTCTTGCTTTCGCTCAGGCTCAAGAGTCAAGATATAGATATCGATATGTATATATATATTTAATTTCCTGTCATCCTTCCAAGTTATCAGGCCACCGATGATTTTTGTTCTCCCTTCTTGAAGAATAAATCTCTTTACCCATCGGCTCTCCCTACTCTCTCCCGCCGCTTAGAAATAAAACTTGGCTGTGTTAGGAGCTCGGAGCGAGAAGGCGCCCACCGAGAGCGTCCGAAGCGCGAGCCAGGCGCAGTTCGCGGGACCCGGGCCATGGGCCGCTAGCGGTCCCCCAGCTCGGGCCCGGCCTCCCTGCGGCCCCCTCCCTATGTGAGCTGCAGCCAGGCGAGCGGGGCGCCGGAGGAAGAGGAGGACCCACGGGCGCCGGGCCGGAAGGCAGCTGGCAGCAGGCCCAGGCGAGCGGGCGCCCGCGTTCATGTTCCGCCAGGAGCAGCCGCTGGCCGAGGGCAGCTTTGCGCCCATGGGCTCCCTGCAGCCGGACGCGGGCAATGCGAGCTGGAACGGGACCGAGGCGCCGGGGGGCGGCGCCCGGGCCACCCCTTACTCCCTGCAGGTGACGCTGACGCTGGTGTGCCTGGCCGGCCTGCTCATGCTGCTCACCGTGTTCGGCAACGTGCTCGTCATCATCGCGGTGTTCACGAGCCGCGCGCTCAAGGCGCCCCAAAACCTCTTCCTGGTGTCTCTGGCCTCGGCCGACATCCTGGTGGCCACGCTTGTCATCCCTTTCTCGCTGGCCAACGAGGTCATGGGCTACTGGTACTTTGGCAAGGCTTGGTGCGAGATCTACCTGGCGCTCGACGTGCTCTTCTGCACGTCGTCCATCGTGCACCTGTGCGCCATCAGCCTGGACCGCTACTGGTCCATCACACAGGCCATCGAGTACAATCTGAAGCGCACGCCGCGCCGCATCAAGGCCATCATCATCACCGTGTGGGTCATCTCGGCCGTCATCTCCTTCCCGCCGCTCATCTCCTTCGAGAAGAAGCGCGGCCACGGCGGCCCGCAGCCGGCCGAGCCGCGCTGCGAGATCAACGACCAGAAGTGGTACGTCATCTCGTCGTGCATCGGCTCCTTCTTCGCTCCCTGCCTCATCATGATCCTGGTCTACGTGCGCATCTACCAGATCGCCAAGCGTCGCACCCGCGTGCCACCTAGCCGCCGGGGTCCGGACGCCGCCGCCGTGCCGCAGGGGGGCGCCGAGCGCAGGCCCAACGGTCTGGGCCCAGAGCGCGGCGCGGGCCCGGGGGGCGCGGAGGCCGAGCCGCTGCCCACCCAGCTCAACGGCGCCCCTGGCGAGCCCGCGCCGGCCGGGCCGCGCGACGCCGACGCGCTGGACCTGGAGGAGAGCTCGTCGTCCGACCACGCCGAGCGGCCTCCCGGGCCCCGCAGACCCGAGCGCGGCCTCCGGGGCAAGGGCAAGGCCCGGGCGAGCCAGTTGAAGCCGGGGGACAGCCTGCCACGGCGCGGGCTGGGGGAGACCGGGATCGGGACGGCTGCGGCAGGGCCGGGGGTGGAGCGCGCTGGGGCCGCCAAGGCGTCGCGCTGGCGCGGGCGGCAGAACCGCGAGAAACGCTTCACGTTCGTGCTGGCCGTGGTCATCGGAGTGTTCGTGGTGTGCTGGTTCCCCTTCTTCTTCACCTACACGCTCACAGCCGTCGGGTGCTCAGTGCCGCGCACGCTCTTCAAGTTCTTCTTCTGGTTCGGCTACTGCAACAGCTCGCTGAACCCGGTCATCTACACCATCTTCAACCACGACTTCCGCCGCGCCTTCAAGAAGATCCTCTGCCGCGGGGACAGGAAGCGGATCGTGTGAGGTTTCCGCCGGCGCCCGCGTAGACTCACGCCGACTGCAGGCAGCAAGGCACCAAGGAGTGCTCAGCCCCAGGGCACTCAGAAACCCGGGCCCTGTCTGCTCTGCGTTTCCTCCTCTGGGGTGGCTCTGCAGCCTCCTGCGGGCGGGCGTCTGCTGCTCCTACAAGGGAAGCGTTCTTGCTGCCAGACCCACGCATCCCCAGTTGTTGGTTTGGCCACTCTTGACCTGGAGCCATCTTCCCGGTGGGCCACCCCAATCAGTATTGCTTCCTGAAGGTATTTTCACCTTCTTCCCCTGGTATAGCCCTCACAGCTCTTCAGAGCAAGCACTGGACTACAAGGACATGGCTCACAAAAGGTTAATGGATGGTTACCTAGAGGATTACCTAGCCCTGGCTAATTCCCCTTCCATCCCCAGCTCTCTCTCTCTCTTTTTTAAAACCCACTCAGGGCAGCCCTGACTGCCCTCCCCACCACCCCCTCCACAATGTAAATATACACTATTTTTGATAGTACACATGGGGACCCCATATCTCTTGACCTTGGTTTTGACGGTGAAATCCTGGCCTTGGGAGAGATGCCTTCTAGGCAGACACAGCTGTGTGGTTCAGGCCAAGCCCCATTTGCAATGCAAGCCCTTTCTGGTGTTATGATGTCCCTCTATGTCGTCCTTTTCACCAGCAACTGGTGACTGTCCCTTTGACACGGACCTGCTTTGAGATTTCCTGACGGGGAAAAGATTTCTGTCCATTTTTTTTTCCTGTGCCTAACAGCATAATTGCCTTTTCCTATGTAAATATTATGATGATGGATCAAGACATAAGTAAATGAACCTTTCTGCCTCACATCAGCCCTGTGTATAAAGCCATTATTCTCTGATGCACTGTTCACCCCAGTAACTCACTTTAAAACCTCTCTTTCCAGTGTTCCCTCTCTCCCTGCAGGGCCACTGCTTGAAGAAGAATATGTATGTTTCTATCTTGTATGTATGTGCGCCCCTCCTGCCCCCAAAGTGCTGACTATGGGAAAATCTTTTAGCTGCTGTTTTTAGACACCAAGGAGTGGAAATTATGTGGAAGAAGCAAACCTGATACAATTTGCCCAAGGTAAACAGTTTGAAAAGACAAATGGGCCTGCCAAACTGTACAGTTCCTGCCCCAAGAGCTGTTAGGTATCAAAGTGTGGTCCTTTCCCCCCTCCCTGCTTTTCTGGTTGAGATCATGTCATTGATGAACTGCCAAAGTCAGGGGAGGAGGGCGGAGACCTTGTGTTTACATCTGCGTTTCTACATGTTTTAGACAGAGACAATTTAAGGCCTGCACTCTTATTTCACTAAAGAAAAACTAATGTCAGCACATGTTGCTAATGACAGTGGATTTTTTTTAAATAAAAAAGTTTACAGATCAAATGTGAAATAAATATGAATGAAGTGGTCCTCTTGTCTGTTACCTGAGTTTTCAAAAGCTTTAAGGCTCTGGGAACATCTGATTTTGTGGATTTTTTAAAAATAAAAAATGTACATTATAAATTTTTTTAAACGTTCAATCAATAACAAAGCTACCATTTCCTAAGTGTTTCTGACATGCTAGACACTGTGGTGAACTGGTTGTAGGCATTGCCTCGTTTACTTTTCTCAAGAACCCTATGAGGTAAGTTCTGTTACTATCCCCATTTTTCAGGTGAAGAAACTGAGTCTCAGAGCAAGTGACTTGCTCAAGGTTAACAAGCGGTGGAAATGCATTGTACCTAACTTTATCTCGTTCTAGGGCCTGTGAACTTAACCCCAAAACCTTTCCAGAGTTTTGGCATTAGCCCTTCTCAGAACACTCCCAGTGGAGAGGTGTCTATGCAGTGTGCTATCTACACCAGGTGTGAGATATATCCCAAGTATGTAATATACACAAGGTGTATACATACCCCAGTGTCTATATGACCTAATGTGTCTATATACCTCAAAGTGTGTATCTACTCCAAGGTGTGGTATATGCACCAAGTGTGGAATATATCCAAAATGTATATCTCACCTTAAAGCATGGTAATATATGACATGTAACATATACTCCATAGTGTGGTTATGCACAAAGTATGGTCTAAACACCTGAATAGAACCATGTATTAGTTGGTGGTTTGTGGTTTGAATTGTCTCTGGTCAGAAGGCACGCATCCTTCTTGTTGCATTGCTGTAATAGCAAAGTCTGCTCTGCTGTCTAGGAGGGCTTATGGTCCTCACACTATGGTTATGGCACTTTGAAGCTGGAAGGGGCCTTAACAATCCAGGAGTCCAACCCCTCATCTGACAGATGAGAGGGCAAATGCAGATTCAAGAGGAAGCGACTTGCTCAGGATCCCATGGCGCTAGGTGACAGGGCTCTGGCTCCAGGCTACCTGGGTTAGGGAGCAGCTGAGAGATGTGTAGTAGCCCTGTGCATATAGTCAGATGCAGTGCTGATGAATAGCCACTCATAGAGGAGGGGGGTTTGAGGGGCAAACCCAAGCATCAGGCTGTGGTTTTGGGGGAGGCCAGCTTTTGTGAGCCCAGCCACCTATAATATGTATGGATCAGCTTTGGACGCCCCCCGGAAGCAGGTCCTTTGCACCCTCTGGGCCGTACATGCAGCATCTCCTCATCTTCCTTTGCTTCTCTGGTGCAGGAGAGGGTGTCTGTGTGTGCAGCAGTAGGAGGGTGGAGAGCCCTGAGAAATGATCTGGGCACTGAGGGGTCTGGGAGAGGGAAGACCATGGCTCTGAGGGGGTGAGGAATTCCTGCTGTCACCTGGATCCTCTGAGCCGGCAGACAGGAGGGTGGCCAGGTGCTGGGCTCCAGTGACCCTGGCTCAGAGGCTTCAAAAACCAGCCTCCTGGCCTGTGGCGCCAAGGCTGGCTCCCTGGTCTGGTTCTGTGGCCTGCTCCCCATCCCACCCTCACCCCAGTCTCTTCTTTCCCTCCTCACTCCAGTGCACCCATCGCCCCAAAGGCAAACAGTGCCAGACAATAGTCTGCCTGGCAGGCCCCCAGGCCCCAGGCTGTGTGTCCCAGCCACAGGAGCAGATACAAACACTGCTTGCTGTTGACTCTCGGCTCTGTCCTGTCTGCCAGGGAAGTGTTTGCCTTGCCTCCACCCCCAGAGGGAGAAGAAGCATGGGCTGTGGTGCCACACGGAGGGGCCTCTGGTGTCATGCTCCTTCCTCCTCGTTACAGAAGCAGAGAAGCCTTAGAGGTGGATGGAGGCTTCAGAAAGTGGGGGAGAGAGGGCTGGAACCCAGGCATGGATGGGTTTCTGAGTTCACAATAGGAATCACTGTTTATTCATTTGCAAAGGGCTCAAGCAACAGTCTGGCAAGATGTGGGGTGGGGAGGGAAATTGAGGCAAAATGGCTCCCGCAGGGATCTTGGCTTAAAGAGCAGGAGATAAGACTCTAACCCCCACATTTTCCTGTGCATCGTATCTGTTCCCGAGTATCTGGGCCAAGAGGGTCTGTGTTCGTGGCTGAATCTCCTGTTTTATGTAACTTTGGTTGGGATATCGAAAGCCATTAGCTTTTGGGTCTGAAGTGCGTCTTGCTAGATTTACTCCTGCAAGTGCACTGGGTTGGGGGAAGGGTAGTGCCTTCGTTTGAGCCTGGGCACAAGCACGATCTCCTCCTCCCCAAGGCTTTGTTCAATTTCTTCTGTGCTAAAAGGCTGGAGGAGAGAATGATGAAAACATGGCTTAGGCTTTCCCCTGTCTAGGACCCTATAATCAAATCAGAGATTTAGAGCCAGAAGCATCGTCATCAATCCTTACCTCTTACCTTGTACTGGCAGATCAAGGGACCTGGGACCTAGAACAGCTGTTGGTTATGTAGCATTCCAGGAGCCCTTGAACCCACTCCTCCCTGTGACTCTCCGTCTGATGCCACATACACCCAACATGAATTCTATTTTGTTTTGGGATGTGGTGAGTGGTTAATCAACCCCAGAGGACCCCCTGTGCCTGCTTTGTGTCATGGACCATCTTAGGCATTGCAAGGCAGTTCTCTTCCTTCCCTGCATGCACTGTGCAAAACTCACCACTTGTCCCTCTGGAGTGAGATGAGGGCCTGCCTCTGCCCTCTGGAAGCTTTGGAGCTACATGGGAAGCCAAGATGTGCCTGTGAAAATCACTAATTAGCCACACACAGCGACAGTGTGGCAGTAGGGGAGAGGATGCCATGTGCCCACCAAGGATAATGGGCATCCATACTGTGAGTGAGCGGTGGGGGAGAGGTGGCTGTGGCTGGGAGCTCAGAGCATAGAATGTGGGAGTTGGGATGCCCACACTTTGAGAAGGAAGCCCGTGAAGGAAGCTCTGGTTCTAGCAGCTGAGTCCTGTGGGACCAGTGCCAGGCCTGAGCAGTGGCACCTGGGCCCAGGTCAGGCCTCAGCTTTCATCCAACCTTATCCTTGGGGATGGCATGACAAGGTCCTGTCCCCATTTGGGGACACCTGTAAGGAAGTCTACCTCCTTGACTCAGTAGCATAATAGGATCCAGGTACCCAGGTCCAGAGCCCAGTGCCAGGCTAGCCCTTGGGCCTCTGCCCTGGGCCCTGCCACCCCTCACAGTGGGCCTGAGAGTCCGGGGTGCAGGATGGGGCACCTTCCTCAGCAGAGGGCACGCCGGAGAGGGAGACCACGTCAAGTCACGGAGCAAAATCACTGACACTCGGATTTGTTTTGGAAATAACATTGATCTCTTTGATTACCAGAAATCCTGGGGCTTAGAGTTAGTTAAATACAAAAAAAGAGAACAGGGTCTGTTGGAAACAGCCTAGATTGAGGATTAGGAGGCCTGGGTTCTAGGGCCAGTTTTGTCTTTTACCAGTGATGTGATCTTGAGCAAATCCCTCTCTGAGTCCCTGCTTCTTCATTTATGAAATGCAAGTGGTTGGTCTAACATTATTTAAAAGTGTGTTCTGTGCAGTTAATTTAACTACAAAATCTATCTATAATATCTACATTATCTATCGACATTACCATTCTATCTGTCTCTACTGTCTATCACCTCTGTATCAGCTCTTCCCTGTCTGCCACCTATCTGGTGAAGTGCTGGGGTAAGCAGTCTTTAACAGGTATCTTTAATCCTCTCCTTCAGGATCTCTCAGAGACTTTGATGTGCCTGTGTGGTTTGCGATTGTCTGAGAGAGGATGACATGGTGTGCTGATTCCCAAACTCCCTGGACTGTGGAATTTCTTTTTTTTTTTTTTTTTTTTTTTTAACAGAGCATCTCAGTGAATCATGTTTGCTGGAACACTTGTTGAGTAACACTGGGTTAAGGGATCTCATGGGGCTTTTCTGCTGATCCATTTTATAATTCTATGAAATGTGGGTCTGCTCTCTCCTTCTGTCCAGGCCATAGGTGAGGCACACTGGGAAGGGCCAACCCATGTTCTCTCTGTAGGGACAGCTGGTGCTAAGGGCCATTGGCCTCATGGAGGCTGGGGTAGAAGTGAGGGTTTGGTGTGTTTTCCAAACATAAACTAAGCCTATGTATATGTGTGTGTAACATGTGAGTGTCTATGGGTGTGTGTGTATATGTGTCTGTGTGTGTGTAAACAGGCACCAATGGACACTGAGGACCACTTTGCTCACCTGGGCCTGACATGTGAGGGTATACATGTATGCACCAGGGGAAGAGGTCACAAAGGAAATTAAAGGGGAGTGTGGTGTGTCTCACTGGTTGTCATGTCAGTTGGCCCCTCCCTGCCTGCGAGGCTGCTCCCCCGAGGTGGAATGCCACTCCCCTTCTAGGGCAATGAAGCCAATCTAGGAGGAGGATGGGATGATGCAACGTGCACATTCTGGGGCAGGCAACACTGCTTCTCTGGCAGGCGTATTCTGTAGCCTCCAGGCTGTCCTGTTCTCCGTGGAAGGGGCAGTTTATCTGACTACAGAGAATTCTGGAGGGGATGGGAGGCAAGAGTGAGAGGCTGTTAATGTTGTCCCCAGGTTTTTCAAGGGCAGGGACTTGAGACCTCTTTAAAATCTGTACCTGAGAAAAACAAGATGGCACCCTGTGAAGGGATGAGAGAAGGGGAATTGAAAACGGACTATTTGCAAGGTACAGGCAGGGTTAAGAGAAACTTACAAGGGCCCTGGGACATGCACAGTGGGAAGCTGTCAGCAACTTCAGAAGGGGCGAGGTGCTACCCACACTATTGGAACTGGGACTTTGGGGAAGGATGCCTGGCAGGCACTGCTGGCAGAGGACCCCTGCAGCCATTGCTAAGCTGTATCCAGACAGGGAGAGAGCAGGAAGTATCAGCACATTCTCCACTCTCACTCCTGCACCCTGATCTGCTGGTGGCTGCCCTTAGGCAGAACTCAGAGAGCACAGAAGAAAGAGTAAGGGGACAGCTCACAGGGCTCAGCCTTCCGGGGCTCAGCATGGACAAGGGCAGAGACTATAGCCAGAGGTGCAAGTAGAGAACATCTAGTGTAGAACCCAAAGCCTGAGAAAGGCAGAGTAACAGCACTTTGGGGAACAGGCTGGAGAGAGGCCAGCTGCCTT